TTAAAATTTATGAAATCATAATTTTTTGGCCTATGCGAGTCTTTATTATTGAGGGTCATTTGGCCTAACCCACATGGGCCAGAGCCTAATGAAATGGACTGACCTGTTTTGACAACTCTTTACATTGCTGATATGGTCCTTGTTACTTATGCAATGGTATTGAATACTAATACCTATTACCTGAAAAAATATCTAAAGAAGAAAATTCATATTAAATTATAAGAATAGTAATATGCAATATAAATTCATATTAAATTTATATTAAAGAAGGACTCTAGTGAATCTATATCAGATGAATTGGAGATTACGTATGAGTGCCATCATATTTATTTGTTGACAAAATGGAGTGGAAAAAAATAAAGTTAATCAATGTTCAAGATTGATTATAACACTTCTTATTCTTACACATGTATAAAAATAGGGCTTGGTGTTTGTCATTTTAAATGACATAAGTTATGTCATTTTAGGAGAGAGATAGACATATAAAATGGAAATAATGGGAGAGAGAAAATGAGTGTTTTTTTAATTTAAAATTTAAATAAAAAAATTTATTCTCTGTCTATCTCTCTCTTAAAATGACATAACTTTATGTCATTTAAAATGACAAACACTTTTTTCATAAAAATAATATATCTTATATATAAATATATGAGGTATGATCTTTTGTCTCTAATTAATTAAGATTATGTCTTACTCCTTATTTCAGTCGTTATGATTATTTAAAATTAATAATTAATTAATAAATATAACTCAATAAATTGTAATAATTAAATGAATAAAATTCAACGATTGAGGCGGAAAACAAAACTTCTTAATAAGTTAAATGACATGTACAATTTCAAGTTGAGATGGCATGTAAGTGATTACTTTCCTTAAAAATAAATGGAACTTCAGGATGACAATAATAGGGATTGTAAAAACGGAGTGAGTTTTTATTATAAAGTTAGATGAATAAATTAGAGAAAAATAATTCAAAAACTAATTAAAAAGAAGTTAAAAGTGCAAAAATATGATTTTAAACATAAAAATTGTGACGTAACCTTGAGTTGAAGACATGGAAATTAACGTAGGGAGATATTGGGAAACATAAAAGATGGCTAAAGTGGCGATGTGCAAGTTGGTTTCGCTGATTTCGTGCATTGAAAAATCAATTGAGTCATTGTCCTTGAGACAAGGACACAGATATTGAGCTGATTGAAAAATCAAATAGCTAGTGGGACATGGTCCCGTAAGTCCTTAACTTGCTTATGGACTTGCGTCTTGGTCTCATTCACATCCTTTTCATGATTTGACGAAGGTAGTACACATGAACGAGCTCACTTTCTGTATAACGGGAATGCATATTCTCTTATATATATAAAAAAATATGACAAAAATTAATCATAAAGATAAAAATAATATAAATAAATTATTTTCTGTCGTATTTGATAAAAATAAATGAGATATGTTATTCTACTTATTATTTTTTCTGCCTATAAAGATAAATGTTAGTTAAGATTCTGATTTAACAGTGTTGGAGGATGGTAGATAAAAATAGGCAAAAAAATGATAGGTAAAATAACTTATTTCAAAATATATATCAATTACTCGGTATATACGTAATACATAAAATCTTTTTTTTTTTTTTTTTGATAACAATACATAAAATATTTTCACTTGAACAATAAGAGTCTGTTTGAAAAACCTGATAAAGAAGATATGATAGGATAACTTATCATATCCTACTTTTATCTGGGTCAATAGGATATGATTAATTTATCCTGTTGTCTCATTTTATCATATCTAATACATGATTTCTTATCCTATTGGAAGAGCTGAGTTAGGATTCAACAAGATAGGATATCAATATTGGATACCCAATATATCCCCACGCTACCCAATATATCCCCATGTTATCCAATATATTTGTATGTATTGCATTATATTTTATTTTTTTCTTTCTCCTTTCTTATTCTACATAATCTTATCAGCTTGTTAATCAGGTACTCATTAAACACATGACATGATATAGGCTTATCAGCCCCATATCATATTCTATCCTTATCAGCCTCATATCATATCCTACTATTATCCTATTCTCCAAACTAACTCTAAATAAATAAGAGAAGGAAACTGTTCCCAGTTAAACCTGAATCCCTTCTTGGGCCTACACTTAAGCCTTTTACCTAGTTCAGGCCCCTTATTCAAATTACTTTTGTTATCCGGCGGCTTGCACTTAATGTTTCGGCTAAGACCGAACTCATGAGCCCAGATCGTGGGTTCAACCTCACGACCACCATTACCCAGTGCAATCGCCTGCAACTATCATGATCACCTCCTGGATAACTGCTCCCTATTCATGATTCTCCATTCATAACTGCATATAATAGCTGCTATAAATACATAAATGATACTAAAGGGGAGATTTTAGATACATTCGATGCCATCATTCATTCCAGATCAAACACTCATTATTCCTTACACTTAGAACGATACCATATCCTTGTCAGACCAATATGCAACCGTGCATAACCCAAACACTTACCCAATTACCCTAGTTTCACTCAGAGCAGAAACAAAGACAAAGAAATAAATATGGAGCAAACAAATAACAATGACACATTTCACCATAAAAAAAAGTAACAATGACACAACTTCAAAAATCAATTCTAGGTAAAGAATAAAATATATCATAATTCCAATGAAAGAATAACTTGGTTTTGTTTTTTCTTTAGTCTATGTTATCCTTCAAACAAAACGGTAAAAGCCGGTGATTGATTCAACTATGAAGAAGTGATTCCACAGAGAGGGGTGGTTTATAATTTTCTATGGTTGTACTTCCATTGATTTTGTGGGTGTTTGGATGGTTTTTTTTTTTAAAAAAAAACTGCTTTTTTTTTTTGAAAAAAAAAATCCTTTTGAATGTGTTTGGATAATAACTATTTTAAAAAGCAGAATTAAAAAGACAAGTTAAAATAATATTTTTTTTCAAGGTTAGGGTTTTCGTACAAAGAAAATAGAAGTCAAAAGTCAAATAATTTTTTAAAATGATTTTAAAATAGCTTTAACTTCTAAAATGTCATTCTAAAAAAAGTCATAAAAATATTTTTTTAAAAGCTTATCCAAAAATACTCTTAATTATGTCAAATTGACGGAATAATAAGAGAAAAATTTTAGTGGTTCAAGACCACCGAACTCAATAGTCCATTTTACTAAAAAGAAAAAAATAGATTCACCTTTTTACTTTTTACTTTATTTATGAAAAAAGTATTTGTCATTTTAAATGACATAATGTTTTGTTATTTTAAGAGAGAGATAGACACAAAAAAAATATATTTTTATTTAAAATTTAAATTAAAAAAAATCAACTACTTTCTCTCCTATGAGTTCCACTTTTTGTGCCAATCTCTTTATTAAAATGACATAACTTATGTTATTTAAAATGACAAACATCAAACTTTTTATTTATTTATTTTCTGTAAAAGGGTCCACTAAATTGAATAGTTCCGAATCGCTAAAGTTTTTCTTTAATAATGGATATGCATTATATTCACCGGAACCCGTGTAAAATTATTTTATAATCTAGTGGATCGAGTATGGCTTTTGGCCCAACATGTCATAACATGTATTGGTTTTTCATTTGGAAAAATCCAAACCATAATTTTGAAGTTTTAAATGAAAAATAAAACGTGCTATAGCGTGGGATCAATGATCGGTGAAAATTTATGTCTGCTAGTCGTATTCAAGTGGGGTCGAGGCGTAATAAGAATCTGAATACACTATTTTGATGTTATGCACGGAGTGAAAAAATAACTATGCTAGGGTTCACTATTCACTGAGAGAATGGCAAGATCCAAACAGAAGGAGAGAGAGAACATGAGAAAGAGAGAGAATTGGGGAGAAAGGAAGAACTTGTGATTGTGAGAAGGTGAGTAATGAGTGCTTGAAGGTGGATTTTGGTAGCTCGAAGGAGGATATCGAACCTCTGGTTCGAGGTGGGTCCAACCCTGTAAAGAATGCAGTGGAAGGGGTTTCCACGGAAGTAAAGATGGAGGGGCTAGACAGGGGAGAAATTCCTAGCGATGCCACCGTAAACAACAGGAAGACCCCATTAGGGGAGAATGCATGTCAGGGAACCAAGGTTGTATCATACAAGGAGAAACTGATGCATCTGAATGGAGAAGTTAAAGGCTATGAGAGTGAAGAGGAACACTGGATGAATATTCAGCGGAGAGAAGAAGCGGAAGAGGACCTTCTTGATGAAATGGAGAAGGAAGATGAAGATGACCCACTGTGTCCTTCATACAAGTTTTCTATGGCTCAGCACAAGGAGGATTGCCAATAGTGGAGGAAGGCCCTAATTATAAAACTCCTGGGGAAACGCATAGAATCTCGGTTCCTAGTAGCTAGATTGCAGAAAATGTGGAGTCTGAGGGGCTCATATGAGATTGTAGACCTAGATAATGGCTACCTGGTATTTCGATTCCAAGACGACAGCGACTATAAGCATGTGCTAGAAGAAGGTCCTTGGGTGGTAGCAGACCACTATGTGGTGGTCCAAAGGTGGCGTCCGTTCTTTGATCCTTATGATGAGAGCTTTAAAAAACTGGCAGTTTGGTTAAGAATTCCAGGGCTTCCTCTGGAATTCTACACAACAAGAAATCTGTGGAAAATTGGGAATATTTTTGGCAGAACGCTGAAAATAGATAGAAATTCCCTGAGAAGAAATGAGATGGGAGAAGATGACATCACGGAGAGGACAAGATTTTCCAGAATTTGTGTGGAAATAGACTTGAAGAAGAGTGTCCTATCGAAATTTAAGTTTTGGGGTAAATCCTATCAAGTAGGGTATGAACAGTTACATCTTATCTGCTTTAAATGTGGCCTCTATGGCATAGACAAGATGGCTGTGATGAGAAACATGCCCAGAGTAAGATTCAAGAAGTACGAGCTCAAGACAAGGAAGTAGTCAGTAGCAATAGTCAGAGTAAAGGTGAAGGAGCCCACGAAGCGTTTGGGAAATGGATGGTAGTTCAGAGGAAACCAAGGGGAAAAAACCAAAACCTGGTCCACCCACTCAGGCAACTAACAGTGGCCCAAGAAACTCTAATCCCGTGAAGGAGAACTTTACTAAGAAAATGGAGAGCCCTAGGATGCACTCATCAAGGAACAAGACTGGGTTGGAGAAGAAACAGTATGTGAAGCCAGAACCTACCAATGTGGCCACGACTTCAGCACTTAGTAGAGGAGATAAGGAGCAGGATATTAGCGGAGGCAGCAAAGGAGAGCAATCTAGGGATCTTGGAAAAAAGAACCCTAAGCTGAATGGGAATTTCCAAAAGAAAGGTGTAGTGAAGGATGGTAAAGGCAGGACCAGTCCTGTGAATAGAAAGAATGCCAACTACAGAACTCAAGATTCACGAGATGGGGGAATGAGAACTAGTCACCTAACACTGTGTTAGGAGGGCCTTATAAGGTGGTGAAGACTAAAGACAAAGAGAAGCAACCATTATCTCCGAGTGATGATGCTCAAAAGGAAGGGAGTCAACCTGAAGCCCTGGTTAAAGGTGAGGATGCCTTATCCTTATTGAAATCCGCTTCTTATTATGAGAAAGATCAAGACTTTGATAAAGTCCTAATGGACATGGGGGGGGGGGGGTGTGAGAACCTATGGCAATAACCTGTAATCAGGTTGATTAGGGTCCCAGGTTCAAACTTTTTTAGTTTTTATGCCTGTGTGCGCAAGGAATTGTAGGGTTGTGGGAAAGAAAGAGTTTCCAGCACTCATAAAAGACCTGAAATACAGATTTAGAATTAATGTCTTAGCCTTCCTTGAGACTAGAATTAGTGGGAAAAAAGGTGATAAAATTATCAGCAAACATGGGTACCCTAACCCTTACAAACAGGAAGCAATAGGGTTCTCAAGTGGTATTTGGCTAGTGTGGGATGATAGGAAAGTGAAGGTTGAGATCCTTCGTAGCCATCATCAATTCATCCATACTAGAATTTACTTTAAGGATGATGATAAAGTTGATTATGTTACTTTTGTTTATAGGAGTCCAAACAAAGTGATTAGGAAAACTCTATGGATGGAACTGGAAGGTTTGGCACAAAATATCACTGGGCCGTGGATCACTGTTGGGGATTTTAACTCCATACTCTGTTATACTGATAAGATTGGTGGCAAGGAGGTGTGTTGGAGAAGTGTGGGGGATATGCAGCAGTGCTTGACAAATTGTGAGTTGTCTGACCTAGGGTTTAAAGGCCCCAGTTTCACCTGAAGAAGAGGCAAGCTTCAAGAAAGATTAGATAGAGCTTGTTCCAATGAATTCTAGAGCAGTTCCTGGCCTGAAAGAATTGTGACCCATTTACCTTATTTTAATTCTGATCACAGGCCAATTATGATCTTAAATGAAACATATAGTAGCCCTCCTTTGGAAGCTAAACATTTCATATTTTTGGCTTCATGGTTAACTTTGGAAGATTTTGGGAGAGTGGTTAAAAATAGCTGGGAGAAGTTTGATAACTGGTCCCCGGCAAGAGATGATTTTGAAATTGAAGCTAAGTTGTGGCATCAGAATGTGTATAGAGTTAACATAAAGCAGAAAATAAGATTTATGCTAGACTTAGAGGGCTGGACAACTATAAATTTGGCAGGTTTGACCATAATACTAAGCTGCTGCAGAAGAGTCTGTGGAGGGACTTGCGAGCCATCTTGTTAAGAGAGGAAATGGCTTGGTTCCAGAGATCCAGATGCAATTGGATGAAATTTAGGGACAAAAATACAAAATTTTTCCACTCAACAACCATTAGTAGAAGGAGACACAATAAGATCCTGACCCTGAAGAATAACCAAGGGGATTGGATTGCTAATAAAGATAAGCTGATTAGCATGGTTGTTAGCTTCTATGAGGAGCTATTTTCGGCTGGAGAAGAGGATGATGGTGATTTTCCCCTTAAGGGTGCATTCCCTAGTCTCTTCTCTAGGGAAAAGGAGAAGCTGGATGCTGCTCCTAGTCATGAGGAAATTAAAAGAATTATATTCAAGATGGGGAAGTTTAAGGCTCCTGGCCCTGATGGTCTCCAAGCAATCTTTTTCTAGTCGCAATGGAATAATGTAGGTAATTCTGTGTGCAATTTGATTATTGACATTTTCAAGGATCCAAGGAAATTCAAAGAGATTAACAAGACCCTTCTATGTCTTATCTCAAAGAAAGACAACCCAGAATCCATGAAGGAGTTCAGGCCAATCAGTCTATGTAATGTCACCTAAAAAGCCATAACTAAACTGATTGCTGAGAGGTTGAGGGAGCTTATGCCTAGAATTGTCACCCCCAATCAATGCAGCTTCATAAGAGGAAGACAAAGTCCTGACAACATTATTATTGCTCAGGAGATTATTCATTCCATGAAGTACAAGAGAGGAGATAAGGGGTGGATGATGATTAAGGTGGACTTGGAGAAGGCATATGATCGTCTGAGTTGGAACTTTATTAAGGATACCCTGACTGACATGGAGATCCCTAGTAATCTGGTAAACTTGTTGTACGACCGTATTTCAACTAGCACCATGAATGTCAGGTGGAATGGAACTACAACCAGGGAATTTCAACCTGGGAGGGGCATTAGACAAGGGGATCCCATATCCCCTTATTTATTTGTCTTATATGTGGAGAGGATGGCTCATGTGATCCAAATGGCTGTTGATGCCAAAGCTTGGAAGCCTATCATGCTGAATAAGGAAGCTATTCTTATTTCTCACCTTTTTTTTGCAGATGATATCATCCTATGTGCGGAAGCTTCCTTGGACCAAGCTCACATCATCAACCAGGTGCTTAAAATATTCACTAAGGCATCGGGTCAAAAGGTGATCTGTGACAAGAAAAGAGTTTTCTTTTCCAAAAATGTGGGCTTTAATAAAGCTAAGGAGCTGAGTGGCTGTTTGGGAGTTGGGCTTACTGCAGATTTGGGTAAATATCTTGGTGTTCCCTTATTCCACAAAAGAGTATCTCAGAATACCTTCAATAATGTAATTGAAAGGGTTCATAACCGGTTGTCTTCATGGAACCAACGATCCTTATCTCTAGCAGGCAGAGCAACTCTTGCTAAATCTGTTCTGGAAGCATTGCCTGCATATACCATGCAAACAACAACCCTTCCAACCAGCTTATGTGATGAAGTAGAGAAACTAACTAGAAGCTTTATTTCGGGATCCAACCCTACCAAGAGGAAAATGCATCTGGTGGGATGGAGGAAAATCTGTCAACCTAAAAATGAAGGGGGACTGGGATTCAGAGATCAGAGAATGGTTAATAAAGCCTTTGCCATGAAATTTGGGCATGGCCTTCTCACTAATAGAAATGCCCTCTGGGCACAAGTCCTGCGAAGCAAGTATAAGGTGGGAAATGATATTATTCCTACTCTGAGCAAAAGGAAGAATGTATCTAACACTTGGAAATGAGTGTGTAGAACTTGGAACAATGTTTGTGATGGTTCAAGAGTTCTGATAGGAGATGGACTAAACACAAAATTCTGGAAAAATAGTTGGCTGCCTGGGACAAAGAAGCTTCAAGATACAGCTACTGCCCCTCTTCCAGAAGATGTAAGTAATTGAACCATAGCTGATTGTATCAACAATGAAGGGAATTGGGATTGGAGCAAGCTGGATCCCTACCTGGAAGCTGAAGACCTGGCTGTGATTGCAGATTTAATACCCCCCTCATTAGAAGCTGGAGAAGACAAAGTTCTTTGGAATTATTCATCAACAAGTTTATTCTATATTAAATCTGCTTATTTGACTATTCTCCCTTCTGACCCTGCTACTGGTGGATGTAACTGGAAGTTTGCTTGGGATTGGGAGGGTCCCCAAAGAATTAAATACTTTATTTGGCTTCTTCTTGGAGACAAATTACTGACAAATGATCGAAGAGTGCAAAGACACATGACTAAGGATGGATCTTGCTCCCGGTGTCATTATCCATTTGAAGACTGCCTGCACATCTTTCGGAATTGCAGCTGGACTAGACAGGTGTGGATGCATCTTATTAAAAATAGAGAGCAGAATAACTTTTATAGTGGTGATTTCAAAGAGTGGCTTGATAGAAACTTCAATAGAAGCAAGACAAATAAGTCCTGTAGGAAAGTTTTTGGAGTTGCTTGCTAGAATATTTGGCATTGCAGGAACAACCTTGCATTCGAAGGGTCTTACAATTCTCCCTATGAGGCTAGTCAGCAAGTCCTCAACCATATTCAGAACTGTGAGTTGGCTGATGGTTTGCTAACTAGTGCAGGGCTTGTGGTAGGAGAAGCTACTGAAGTTTTAGTGAAATGGAGCCCTCCTCCTCAAGGCTGGATGAAACTGAATTCGGATGGGTCCTGTGCTGAAAATAGAGCCAAGGTTGGATGTGGAGGAGTCATCAGAAACTCTAGTGGAGAGTGGATTATGGGTTATTCAAGGAAGCTGAGACACGGTACTGCCCTCATGGCTGAGCTTTGTGGGATGCTTATTGGCTTAAACCGGGCCTGGAATGAAGGTATGCAGCAAGTGGTACTAGAAAGTGATTCCATGGATGCTATACAGATGCTATCTAGAGAGTGTGATACTCCTAGTCTCTACTCATCTATAGTCCAGGCTATTAAATGCATGCTGGAAAAACCTTGGAAGATTGAAGTGGCTCATATATATAGTGAAGGGAACAAGGTGGCGGATTGGTTAGCCTCTCAACATGCTGTGAGGGATAACAATATCATCTGGTATAGTAGTCCCCCTCCTAATTGTAATTCCGTGTTGATTTTGGATTGTAAGGGCATTGGGATGCCCAGATACATTAGTAGTTAGTTTGTTGTTTATTTTCCTTCATTATATAAAAAAAAATGATCGGTGAAATTTATATACAGCAGTTCCCCAAAAACATGAGTTTAGATAAACTTTGAAAGAAATAATGTACTTTAATATTATAACATTGTTTGAGATTTTTTTCCTAAGTTACTCTTTATAAGGAAAAAAAATAAAATTGATTTTTTTTTGTTTAAAAAAACTCATCCAATTATCATTAAGATTTCAAACTTAATTAAAACAGTACCTTTTCAAAGAAAAAACCCTAAATAAACATGACTATAGTCAAAAAAGAGAAAGGAAAGGTTGGACTAAAAAATTATGTACTGCGTATGATCTTTTCAACTACTTTGGAGTTAATTCATAACAAAATAAAAATATCTTCAAGACTTGCAATTATTTAAGGTTTGTTATTTTAATATGTATTTATTATCTATGTCGCTCCCGAATCAAACAATACAGATAATTCAATATTAGAAATGAAAATTATATCTTTTACCAAATTCGGGGCCTTTTCAGTATGCTGCGCATTTGTAGTATACACTCGCCCAACCGTAGGAATAACAGCAGCAGCAGTAGTAGTAGTCGGTAAGGCCTGCAGATCCGCAGCCTGTCCAGTAGCAGATGGACAACTCCTAGCAAAATGGCCAGTCTGACCACACTTGAAACACTCCCCCGGGGCTACACCACATACACCTTTGTGATATTTCTTGCACTTCCCACATTGTGGGATATAATATCTATCAACAGCTCCACCACTAGGGGCTCCACTCCTCTTAAATTGACCAGGAGGCTACCTTACTTGCAACCCATTCCTCTATTATTATTATTATTATTATTATTATTCTGATGACCACCTCTGTAATTAAAACCAAAAGGATTATTGTTCTTCCTCATCTCTTTCTCTCTAGCAGAATTAGACTTCGGATACCTGCCATGCACAATCTCGACCTTCTTGAACTGTGTCATTAAATCAGCAAAATTCCTGACAACAATATTCGACATGCGTTTCACAATCTTTTCACTCAATCCTCTTTGGTACTTCGTAGAAAGAAATTCCGGAGTAGGCAAAGTACCCCCATAATTAGCAAACTTGACCAATTCATTGAACTTGGCCAAATATGCATCCACAGATAATGAACCTTGCACCAGCTTATCAAATTCTCCTTGTTTAGCCTCCCGGACATCACGAGGAAAATATTCTTCATGAAATAGGCCCTCAAACAAAGCCCAAGAGATCTCCTTACCCTGAACAGCATAAGGGCGAGATACATTGCACCACCACTCATGGGCATCACCCTCCAGCATATACACCGAATACAACAACTTCTGAGGATCCTGACACCTCATCACCTGGAATATCTTATCCATTCCCATAAGCTAGGTAGTAACCTCCTTCAGGTCCTTTGACCCCAGAAATGCTGGCGGTTTATGTTTTCGAAATGAGATAAGGCTCCGCTCATCCGCAACATCATCACTAATCTGCTCAGTAGCCCCAGTAGACTGAGCAACATATGTAGGATCAGCAGTGGGCTGACTAGCCTCACCAGTGAGGTGACTAGCCCCACTCTCCCCGTGCGTGGGTGTAACATATGGCGTAGGTGTAGGTGTCATCGTAGCCGTATGCGGAGGAGAAATATTCCGCCTATGCCGAGCTCTCTCAGCCCTCATCTCAGTCATGAAGGCCTGCAACATATCCTGATTATTCTTCATCAGGTTTTCAGTCATAGTCCTATTAGCAGCCGTCTCCACCCGCAGAGCATTTAGAACTACAGTAACCGGATCAAGCGGAGGAGGATCTGCACCTTGTGTCCCACGGCGGCCACGAGCCCCCCCTCATGATATCTGTACATGTAACACAAAGGAATGAGCTGATCAGACCCACACTGAGGAATCATATATACATTAATCATAAAGAGTTCACAGATAGCTATGCAACACAAAATACAGTCATACATACTCAGAGTTCCCTAATAAACTGCTCTGATACCATAAAATGTAACAACCCGTTACGTACCGGTAATGTTATCATTGTATATGGTATTAAGCGCAGTTATAATCACAGTAATTGAGTTAAATAAATTACGGGTAAACTTTTTCTTATATTAACTCCTTGGCTTTAAACATTAACTATTTCCGTAATCAATTAAAAACAACACCGTAATTGTAAATGCAAAACTCGCGGAAGCATAAAACTTATTTATTATAACCCCTCTAAGCCATACCATTAACTCTAGGTTATAAAATGACTTATTTTCAAAAATTGCACAGTAGGAATCGGTTCCCAACAGCAGGGAATCGATTCACAATAGCTACAGTAACAGACAGTAGCTACAATTTGGCTCCCCTGTTTTTAGGAATCTATTCCTATAAAAAGGAATCGATTTCCAGCCTTAACAGTGGCTAAAATTTACGTGCTCTGTTTCAGGGAATTGATTCCCAACAGCAGGGAATCGATTCCCTACTGTGAAATCCCAGTTTTGACAGCTTTTTGACTTCACACGGGATCCATAATTTCATTCCTAACACTTTAATATTTAATATAACACTTATACCATTACTAATGTAGGCTCTAGGCCCTTCCATCATGCATAATCTAATACCAATGTATCATTTTACATTATTCACCATATCCTTTGCCATTTACACATCATATAGCTCATTTTACATCACAAGTATCCAAATGCCTCTAAAATCAAAATATGTGGCCATGGACAAGTCCCATGCTCACCAAGATGTCAATATAAACAATAGGCACGAAATGTAAATCAATTACAAAAGACTTAGAATCTAACCATGAACACCACAAAAGCATGGAAATCTCAACATGCAATATGTTCATGATCAAAATCCAAAATGCTAAATGTAATGCTATGTGCATCAAATAAAATCCTCCAAAATGCCATGTTATCCATATGCACATCATGATCCAACTCCTCCAATAAGCGAGCCTCTTACCCGATGGTCCTCCATGCTCACTATATCCTGAAATGATATCCCCAAACGTGGGGTGAGATATACAAATATATCTCAGTAAACCAAGGGTACTAGAGGATCACTCCACCCCATGGTTCACTCAATGTGCATACAATGATCATTATATAAAATGCATAACATACAAAATCACAACACTGGGCTTACATCCAAGAACATCCCCACAAGGATTCCGTTCAAGGATCTCATCATATAACTCTCGAGAAGCTTCCTGGTGCCTCTCCCATGGATGAGACGATCCCATGGCAAAATCCAACTGAAACTCCTCATGAGCCAAATCCAGCGGAAGTCCCATGCTTGGATCATCCTTGTGCCGCTCCCAGAGTCGGCCCTACGGCAAAACCCGACCGAAATCTCCCAAAGGGATATCTCCAGCGGAAGTCCAAACCATACACATCTACTGGCTAGAGATCAGATAATATGTCACACAATCAAAGCAATAATACATGAACATGTCATTTCACACAATGTCCAAGAGCACAAAATTCAACCACAACCTTCCACTAGGTGTGGCAGAACATATAACACCTCACATTTCTAAATTATATATTAATATATTAAACATGGATTAAAGGGTAAAATTAGTGAAAATCCTGAAAAATAGGTCAAAATACAAAGGAAGGGTAAAACGGTAATTAGCCAAACATGTAACCCTAGGAATGTTTAATTGAGTAGGAGGTCTCAAATGATAAAAATAACCCTGGAAATGGATTCAGAACGAAAAATTTAGTGGTTAGGCAAGTTTCAAAAAATTCGGTGAATAGTGTTTTTACCGAGTAAAAATACAGCAGTACAGTTGCACCGTAAAGCGTGCTAAATGAATTTGGAGCTCTAGGTTTGGATATAAGTTATAAATGGTATATATGATTAGGAAATATGAAATCTGACGTAAATTGACGGAAATTAGAAAGTTTGTGGAAGCGTGCCTACGGCGCGCGTAATAGCTTAAAACTGCAATTTCTCCGAACGACTGGAAAACTCCGGATTCATCTGATCAAGGATAATTAAAGGAGAATGGTTAATGTTAAAAATTAGAGTTTCTAAATAGGTTTTAAAATTATGGACGTTTAGTGGAATCAGAGGGAGTTTGAATTATTTTAAAATCGCGTGAGGTGGCGGTGGGGCCCACCTCACTTAAGTCACTTAAGGCCACATGTGCATGACTATTCATCATCACCCTCACACCCTCTTTCTCTCTCCAAACCCGCACCCAAACCCCCCTCCCTTGGCCATTTTCATTTTGATTTCTTTCTCTCCTAACTTCATCAAATCTTCATCAAATCAAGTGAAGTTTGTCTTGAAATTTGTTGGAAATCACCTCCCAAACACAATGGTTGTAGTCTTGAGCCATGAAACTTCCTAGATTTTGAGAAAATCCCCCCCAAACCCGCGGCCCTTTGGTGTAGATTTGCACTCATGGAATTGTTTGGTTCTCCAATGGTTTAGTATGTTGTGGAGGAGTCTTAGGCCAAGCTTTTGAGTAAGTTTCATCATATTTTATTGGTTGGATTTGTTGATTCAATTTCATGAACCCTAAAGGCATTTTGTGTGATTGATGTAGTTAGAGAGCTTAAATGGAAATTGTGTATTAGATTAAAGTGATTTAGAATGATGTTTTAGAGTGATAAATGCAATAAAAATTATTGAGAAATTGTATGATAACTTAGTGGATTTTTTTTTGAAATGCCATGACTTTGTGAAGTTGATTGGTTATATGATTGTGTAATTGAGTTGTTGAATGATTGTATGAGTGGATTATAGGATTGTATAGGTGTGGAGTAGTTGAATTGAATTGAAAAACCCTTGGTGTGTGGCTTGGTACAATTCGGCCATGAGAGGAAAAATGGGGATTGATGTTGTGAAATTGTATAATTGATATGTTGTGTTGTTAAATGGTAATTAGAAGGATTGTGTGATGGTTGGATGCTTTGGAAATCAAAGGAGAAATGGTGGGAATGTGTGGAATTGGAAATTGAACCTAGAGTGGAAAAAATGGCAAAATGATGTTAGGATAGTGTAAAATGAAAAGTGACACCTAAAATGACATTGTGGTAGCCCTAGGATGATAAAGAAAAATGAAAAGAAAATAAAGAAAAATAATTTGTGTTTTAACACTATTGTGGTCGAACCTCACTTGGTGAGGGGAGGAAAATTGACGTTTTGTGACTTTGGTGGATTTACCGTGTTGTGATGATCCATATATGGTCGAACCTCACTTGGTGAGGGGAGGAAAATTGACGTTTTGTGACTTTGGTGGATTTACCGTGTTGTGATGATCCATATATGGTCATTGTAGGTTGCCTTCTGCGGATTTGAACCCTAAACCGTGAGCTCGGTGGGTTGCCCTTGGTCCCGAACCAAAAGGGATTGTCGTAAGTATTTTGGAACCATGCACATGTGCTTGATAATTTGCATGTAATAGATGAATGGAAATTAATTGGGAATGTCCTATGTGTAGGCATTTCTGTTTGTGTACCTAGCTCGAGGATTTATTGCGTTGGAGCTGTAAGGAGGTGATTAGTTAGGTAATCTCTTGGTACTGGGGTTTGATCCCCTTGTGTGTTTCACCATGCCCGTTGAGGGTAATGGTAGGAAGTGTATGTGAATAATATAAGATAACATGCTCATGCATATTATGTGTGTTGTGGTACATAGGATGTACCGTGTCTCTGGCCAGTAGACTGTTTGCCTTCGGGCATTACGGACTTCCACTGGGTAGATCTCCGTGAGGGAGTTCCAGTTGACCTGGGTTCGTGGTGTGTGATCCGTAGAGGAGCACACTAGGAAGTCTCGGGTGGTTATGGATGGAGGGTGTCTTGGTTGATGTTCTGGCAACACACCTTGGTTGGAAACCCGTAGGCTTATATGCCGAGGCCAATAGGCTGGACTTTGCATGGTTTTGGCATTGACCATTCCAGCTTCGTCGTGTTTTGTATCCCTATTTATTATGTTTCATTTTGAGGCTTATTTCATTATGTTGTATTTGGAGAGTTTATGGTCTTATGAATTCATTGGAGAATTGTAATTGTAATATTTGGATCTTGTGTAACATTGAAATATGTAATATAATGAAAGGGCAATATGCCTATTTTAGGATGTGAATGATGATTTATGATTCAAAGCATGCATGCAATTAGACCTTTGTGATTGAAATAAGTTAACTTGGAAAAGTAAGCATTGATTATGTATTTTGAGCAAATTGGATATAAACTGTGAAGGGTTGTAAGAGCACCAAGGTATTGTTGGTCCTTGTGTGCCACCCAATGATTATTAGGTACAAATTGAGGTTAGAGAACACATTTGCAAAATTGGGATTTATTGGAAAAACAAAGGAAACTCTAGCGAATTTTCTAGAAATTGGCAGAATTTAGGCGAAT